GGGGGGGCAGGGGAGCCTCCTAAAAAGCCGTAATTTCTTATGAAATGATCCTTTTAGTTTATTTTAAGTCTGAAATTCATATTCTTCTATGAAAAATAATTCAGACTGCAAACTTCCAGGGCACTGATGTTGTTCAGCTGGACTGGAATGCAGACAACAAATGCTACAGAATAATTAGGAAAAAAATTTAAATGGAATTTGTAACAAATGAAGCATGTTGCTCTTAATAAATAACAGAAGTGTTGTGCCTTCCCATTAACACTGCCTGGTGAAAACAGTTCCACAAGAAATAATTTTCTTCTTAGAAGAAATGTGCCTTAAATGTGTACTTAATCCATATGTGCTACATGTATATTTAAGGAAGAGCCTGCCAAATTTTCCTGTGGTCTACACAGAAATTTTGGGATGCTATGAGTTGTGCAGTGAATAAAGGCATTTCTCATTTTTTTTCTCTCCCTTATGTGAGCGGCAATCAAGTTATAGATGAAGGGATGTGCTGACGCATCTAAGCAAGAAAGTCCATCTTCTAAAAAGAACACAAATAAAGAATGATGAAAGTCAAGCCACAGATACTGACAAGTAAACAAGCTGATGGTGTAAACTAGTTAAAAAAGAGATTACGTCGAGGACGACAGGCATACTACAGTATCATGAAGCACCATCAGGTAAATAAAAGGATGAATGATATCTCAAGGAAAGAAGAAAACTACAGGAGGAAGGTCAGACCAAAATATGATGAGAAAATGACAGTAGTGAATAAAGAAAAAAAAAAGCGAAAATATTCAAATAATAAAAAAAAAAACAAACCACATTTTTAGCAGAGAAAGAAAAGGAATTTAGAGAGTTCTTAAAGAATATGACCTAAGCAATTTATTGACCAAAAAACCAAAATATATTTGTTAATAACAAAATCAAAACAGAAACAAAAATGGAAAAAAAAGAAAAAAAATCTGTTTCAGCTAAAAATGGAGTCACAGAAGTTCAAAACTGATACAGATTTTCCACTGTGCAAGAAGGAGAAACAGAAAAAAAGAAGGCTTCTGCCAGGACAGGTGATGAAGAAATCAGAACATCTGTCTGAATAAACAGCTCCAGAACCAGACAAATACAGAGAGCTTGGAGCCAGGGGGATTCATCCCAGAGAGCTGAAGGAAGCAGCTGTTTTTATCCAAATGAAAAAAATAATGTGTCTTTACAAACGTATTCTTACCGAGTGTGACATACTTTCTTTTTGCTTCAACTGTCTTAAGGACTTTTCACTGGGTAGAGAATGAGGAAGAGACACACGCACTGAAACAATGAAAACCCCACCGATGTCCAACGGGCCACTGTGCTTATCATATGCAACGTGGGCTCACAAAGAGGAATTCACTTGGGCAAGAGAAACATGGCACAGCCCTGCTTCAGTCAATATACTCATTTTCCTGGTCTTGTAAGCCCATAGCTCACCAGTCCTTGATTTACTCACATATAAACTGGTGATACTACCTCATTGCCAATGTTGTATTTATCAATGCCTACCATTATTTGAAAAATGGAAAATTCTGTTCACATGACTCTCTTTAGAAATACTGACTGTATGGGTTTGAAATTCCCCAGATTTCATAAGCAGCTTAGCAACACATGGAAATATTACCAGGTCCAAAATGCACCTGAAGCCGAAGGTACCTGCCTGTTGACTTTGCTGTTCTTATTTATCTAAAGCGGTGAGATCTCTTCTGTGATAGCATTCAAAAGGATTGTAACTGGTGTTTTTAAGTGGATCGGAGAGAGATCAGAATCTGTATTAACTTTGTAACCCGAGAAGACTAGCATATGGAAGACAGACACTTGTAACCATTTTTTCGCAAGGCCACATCTTTCAGATGAGGTTCAGCCATGTTACCCAATAAAATGAACCCTGAACTCTGCATCAGGAAACGCCAGTTCAGAGCAAGAGCTAAGAGACCACCTTTTAAGTTCTGCACAGAAAAGCAGATTTGGCAAGAGTGACCAATTTACCTTGTAGTTAAATTCATCCATTTTGCAGGAATCCTTTGGTTTTGACCCAAAACATGGTCCCGCTTTCTACCCCACGGTTTCTGTTCTGTGCAGCCACCAAAGTACCTACCCGTCTGCCTAAAGCAGCTGTACAACGAGACCTTTCAACTGACAAGAACAGATTTGGCTCCGATGCACGGCCTTACAAAATGCTTCTGTTAGTTTGAAAGCCTTTTTCAGTTTGTTACCTCTACATATATTGGCCCATTCTCAGCAACAGAGAAGAGCCCTTGGGAGGGAGCAAGGAACAGATCTGTTTTGTACAGCTCCATGTTGAAGGTCACATTGGTGATGTGCGGTTCAGGAGGCCAGAACATGCCTCTGTCATCCTCTGGCTGGTGCAGCGTGCAATTAAACTGAAATGAAAAAAACCAATACAAATACATCCTGAGTCAGGAGTGGTAGCTGCATAAGGACAAATTTGGAGTGTACAGTACAGGCCCACCCACGTTACGTCTACTCAGTGCAAATCTTCAACAGGGTCACAAGAAATACAAGCGAGAAATGCGTTAAAAGACAAATTAATTGCTATACAATTAATGTAATTTATGTGAAGTGCCTATCACAGTAGGCATTTCTCTGTTGTCAGGTGCAAACCCGAGAGTAACGTACCGCGATTGCAGGCCAGCTCAAGAAAGCAACATCTCCCTCGTCAGCATCCCCTGGAAATCCATTATCACCTGATTCCATGTCATCATCATCAAAGCCGCTGCTTTCAGCTGGTGATGACAGCTGAATGACAATCTGCACAAAAGGTATTGTAAATGCATAAAATTAGGTGATAACTGAGCACTCTCTCTTCATGGTTATTATTTTCTTCTCTCTTTGGAACAATGAAAAGGCCAAAAGAAGTGCACCAACTAAGCAGAAGGTGAAAGCATGTCTTAAACAGGCTTGAGCTTAGCGTGTAAGATACATAGGTTTATATTTAGAGAATGCCTCTTTGTTTCCAGAATTCAGAGCCAGCAAAGACACTAGTCTGGGTGCTGGTGTCTGAGTGAGCACCCCAGCATTTCCATTCTATTTCTGGTATTTCTATAACCAACACTGAAAAAAGAAATGGCTTTCTAAAGTGATTTTTTGCAGCTTACAGTTTTCCTTAATGCACTTACGGAAAACTCACTGAAAGCGTTAGGGTCATTAAAGGATTTTCTCTTCTATCATTTGCGTATTTTTTTCAGAGATATACACCCAAAGACATGATCTCCCTTTCTTCATTTTTCCCTTCTTTGTTCTCCTCTGAATTTCTACTGAATCCCTCTCCCTCCTTTTTTTCCCTCCTTTGCACACTTCTCCATTTCTTCACCTGAAAATTCCCATTTTTGTTTTCCAATGTTCTGCACTCTGCTTCTGTATGCCCTGCAGCTCCTCAGCTAGTCCCCTCCCTTCCAGGACTTCTGCTAAGAAGTGACATATACACTCTTTGAGACACTGCTGCATGGTGTTTATTTTTTAGGAGAAATGCTCCCAAATTCTGAAAGATACCATACATGATTCGGAGTTTAAGTGAGTAGTCAAGACTATTAAAAGACATGATGGAGGAAAGAGAGGAGGCAAATATCCATTTTAGTTTGGGCCATAATAGAATATAGGGACAATGACAGTATTTAGCACCAGACACATGCTATCCTCTAGTTTGGAGATGTTTCTATCCATGGTCTTGGTTTGGGACTGTTTCTAAAGTTAGGTGCTACAGACGTGCCAGTATAGAACGGTTTTAACCAGGCAGGCTCAGATCAGATTGCCTTAGCTGTGTTTGGGTTGGACCACAGGCTTTCCATCATTTGCCAAGTTTACTTCTATGTACTGGAAAGCTCAGCAAGAGAAACGTGTCATTACTTTCCAACCCAGATTAGCTGCACTGTACTCAAGTTTATAAACTGAGTCAGTCTGGAAGCAGTGACTTAGAACTTAAGTGGGCTCCTTATCATCATCACTCATATACAAGTACTCGAGTCCCTTCATCACGTACATCAACTGATAGTAAATGTGAATCCCAATTGTAAGAGAGAAGCAAATCTCTTTTCCTCACATTTTGAAGGCCTTTTTCACACACAATTCTTGAAGAAAAAATTTCACTTAAAATAATTCAGCATATGAATTAAATGGTGTTGCTTTGTGCAATCACAAAACTTCATTCCTTTTCCTCCTCACAGCTATGTAGTACTGCTTATGTATGGGTACATCAAAGCTGCGTAGGGAAATACTGGTACAGATGGTCCCCAAAGTGCAGCCATGCAGTTTTGTAAAAGCATTTAACTCCAACTCCTCCTTTTTCCTTTGGGATGTTATCTGACCGCAGGAGCACACTGAATGCACACTCCTTGAATACAGGGGCTGTAGCGGCAACTAGGTTTGAGCTAGACAGGAAAAGATCAGGATGCCTCCTTTTTGCTAAGACTCAAGCTAACTACAATGGCTTCCTTGTACCACTGTGATGTGTGGTGCAGAAGGTGGCTCCTCTTTGTAAAATACTCACAGAGTTAAAATAAACAATCTTGTTCAAGATATACGCTGTCCGAGTCCCGCATTTGTTCAGCGAAGACTCCAAAATGAAATGGGTACCATTCATCCTGGCTTTGCAAGAGTGATCCAGCAGCGAGAGTTCTGTCCTTGTGTAGCCGCTAGCCTGAAACAAAGGCGCTTTGTAAGTGGCTGAAACACAATTGTGTTAGGCTCTTGCTTAAAGTGCAGCTCAGAGTACTGTTCATGACTGCTGATAGGAGGAAGTGAAGTTCATTGTACTGACATCCAGGGAAGGTCACTCTCAAAACGCTGCTATACATGACAGACAGGGAGTAAATGTAACATGGAACAATGAAAACAACAGGTTCGTTATTAATCTGCTGATTAATAATGCTGACTCTGTTTGGCCTGAAATGAGCTAAAAATGCTGTCTGTATCAGGCTCTTTTCCACACTGCAAAGGGACACAAGCAACCTGTCAGCTGGTAGATGGTAAAGACAGATCTATCCAGGTCTCATACAGCTATCAAAAGCAGCTTCTTTGTACTTTGGAGATTAAAAACTCAGACTGATGGTTGAGTAATTTTTTGACAGAACCAACCCTGTAAAGCTTTAATCAGAAATCCCTCTACAAACTACTGGATTGTTGGGAAGACGAAACACAACCCTGAGTTATAGCAAAGAATATCTACAGTATAGTTTCCTCACCAAACTATTTTTGAGGGGTTGGGCAGGGATGGCTGTAGATCTTAGAATGTTTATTTTTTCAATACAAATAGGAAAAATTTCTTCACCAAAAGGGTTATTAAGCATTGGAACAGGTTGCCCAGGGAAGCAGCTGAGTCCCCATCCTTGGAGGTATTTAAAAGACATGTAGCTGGGCGCTCAGGGGCATGGTTTATTGGTGGACTTGGCAGTGCCAGGTTAATGGCTGGACTCGATGATCTTAAAGGTATTTTCCAACCTAAATGATTTTACAATTCTATGAAATAAAATGGTCTGCCCAAAAAAGCCTGCCCAAATTTGAGAATAAGAGATCACACCAACCTGCAGAGAGTCTTTTTCTACAGCTACTGTCATGACTTTGTCATCACACTTTATTGACAGGGCTACATCAGCACTGCCCTGAACCTCTTCCGGTTCTTTATGTTTTGAGAGGGAATGCTCAAAGTCATGATTTATTAATGTATCCACTGAACCCCTGGATGGGAAGATTCCTTCTCCCACTGTGTCATGTCTTCCTCTGTTAATGTGAAAAGGAAAAGTCAGGCCATCACTTAATGCAGGATTCTTTGGAGCAGGCAGTGGGTTAGCAGCCAGCAATTCTGTCAGCTCTGGAGGAAGGGAATGGTCTTCTTCATCATTCATCTCTTCTAAAAAAGGAAAAAAAGAACATTAGGTTATTCAACATTTTTCCTAAAAGTATTCAGAACTAATAGTTTTCATACAAAAAAAGTATTATCCAGAAAGGAAGCTCTTGAAGGACATCCAAAGATCCAAAGCAGCGCCTTTGTACTTTTCAGGTAACTAGACACAATTCCTCCACTAAGGGTTCAGTTGTTACTGAAGCATCTAATCTTGCTATATTTAGTTCCTGCTAGAAATCTGCCTCACTAAGAGTTGAAAACAAGCTTTGAGGAGTGGGCCCATTATAGGCAAAAGGCAACCACAGAGGTAAAAGAAACATCACATTCAGCAAATAAACTATTTTAGTGCTGCTGAAATAGCCTAGGTGTAAATTGTTGGGTGAAATTCTTCCATTACCTGCCCCATCACAAATTCAGTCACTCCATTGCTGTGGAACTACTTAGATAACTAGAGTGAAGTTAAACAAGAGTTAACTTTATATTGAGTAAATGAGAACACTATCTATCTCCTGGGCTTATACACATGACTGCTTAAGGCAGAAATCTCAACGTCTGGCCCAAGCCGATAATTATCTGTAACCCCTGAGAGTGCAACTGATAAAATTCATGTGAATATAAGCTTTATCAAAACAGCTAAACAACATTTTTAGTGGTTGAAATTTAGAATTAGTGTAAAAGCAGATGCAACTCCACTAGCTTCAAGCGACCCAGATAATCTTTGCATCAGCAATGACTTCGGCCAAATAACTAAATTTTTTTTCATGGTTGTATTTGTTCAGTTCAGTCAGACTTTGCCGGTAAGCCAGTTTTGTCTCTAAACAATTTAAATGTTCCTTTAATTGTCTCAAGGAAACGCTATGCTCATACTTTTGGGAAAAAAAAAAAAATAAAAATCAAAGCTGGATTTATTAACTAACAAGGTATCCAGTTGCTGACGTCCATTCCAGTGAACACTGAGCATGGTCAGCTATAACAGCTTGTGAGTTGGATAAACTATAACCATTTAATTCCACCAACACATCAGGAAATAACACAATTTGCCTGGACTTTTCTCCTCAAAAAGTCACAGAATTTTTTTTGTTTTTTTTAACCAGCATTCATAGATATTACCAGCATTATTGACAATGAGCAGTGAAAGTAGTGCGACCCCCAACAACAAAGCTTCAAAACTGAGAAAGCACCTTTCAAATCATCATATTCCTGGAAATACAGGATATATTTTTTCTATATGCTAAAAGTCCATCTTCAAGCTTACCTGTATCTTCAAGTTGCAGATGGAATCTGTTAGCAACAGGGGCTTTTGTGTAGGAAGTAACTGGGCTGTAGTTATGCTCATAAGCCCACCTGATCAAACTCTCATGCGATGAGGGAATACCAGGTATTACTGATCTACTCATAGTCATGGATCGTTCTGTTTCCTTTCCAAAACCAATACTATTCGATGTCTGCAAACAAAGAAAAACTTGGTTCACGATTTGCCATTTAAAACTTGGTTCATGATTTACCATTTAAGGATACTTAAAATGGAATAGTGACACTGATTGAACATGGGTTTTACTCTATTTTACTCTATTAAATAACAGCAGACTGAGAACACCTGGGAAATAAACCAAACTCTGCCACCTTAGGCACAGAACTGCCGCACACATGGAGAAAAGCCCCCCCGTCCTCCCAGCCTCTTCCTGGAGTACAATAAATCAAGGTAGTCAGAAACCGTTAATCCCTAAACGAGGCAAAGACGTATTCACAGCCATTTGTAGAATGCTGTATTTTCTTCAAAACTGCGTTGAAAAGACTTCTAAGGTGGGGTGAACTCAAGATGACAACTGATTATTCAAATGTCCCCTTCATTTCTTTTGTTAGAGCATTACTTAAGCTACATATGGAAAAACCTTTGTTGAAATGAGCGTTACTGAAAAAGGCAAAACATAGCATGCTCATGAAGTAGAGCTGATATCAGCTAACGCTTTAAAGTCAGCTGGCACCGAGGACAGCCTGTGCTTCTCTGAATGAGCTTCATACTAGAAATGTTGTGTGCCTCCTGCAAAATGTTGAGTATGTTAAACAGGACTGAATTAAATGCTTAACACAGCGACAAGTGACAGCATGCATGTTTATGCAAGGCCAAAGTACTTAAAAGACAAGATATACTTTCTGCACATAAATAAAATTTTAATTTTAATTAACAACATGAGTTTTACACAAATACGTCGATACAGCAAACTCATAAATACACTTGCCGACCTCTTAGTTTTATTATTAAATAATTACAAATAACGGCTCGTCAAAGTTGGCCATGGAATACATGAGTCATGCAGTCAGTTAGCTTTTGTTTTACTGTAAGCATTTTGCAAAATTTCAAATTTTCTTGTCCAAATGGGCAAGTCAAAAGCATATAACAAGCATCTCTAGCTGTCAGAGGGGCAGTTAGAAAATATTCACTGGTATTACACTTTACCTTGCTTTTAAGTGCTTGACATCTGAAACTTAAACATGTATTCACACAAAACTAAAGACATATATATTTATTTTTACAGTCGCAAAATTACTATTATCACTGTTACAATCACATCGACTACAGCACAAGCTGAATATGCCCATAGCAGGAAAGGCACGACGACCCACTTTTCAACGATTACTGCAATGTGTTGAAAAGTGCAAAAGAATTGCACATTCTATATGCAGATGATACCATTGAATGCTCTACAACAAACACTTTCATTTCCATACCTGCTTACCTTCTCCATCATAGAGGCTGCTTGTTTGTTTGTTTTCTTTTTTTTTTTTTAAATCCCCATTGGTTTCCCTCAACGTGAACAAATCTTAATTCTCTCTCACTCTAGAACGTCAAAAGATTGATTGTACCGATCCCTTTTGCTCAGATAGCTTTTAGACAGTGGTCGTACGGACCTGCTACCCAGCATCACAGAGCTCAGCTGCGCTTCGGTACCTGACCTCAGAAACAGAGCTTTTGAACCAAAAGGTGAATAAAGCTCAGAGAGTCCCGAGGGAATGGCATAGTTTACCTTTAGCTCCCTCCCTCAATTCTTCCTAACAATCCAGTTCTGCATCCTTTAAACACTCACAGCTTCACAGCTGAAGTTAAAGAGAATTTTAGTTTCAGAGTGTCTGGTTTGAGGATGCTGTTACCAGTACAGTTATCAATGACTAGCAAAGGCCACTGAAGATAAGAAACAAAAAGGAAGCAATAGACATCCTAATTTTAGTGCCTTATTACTGTTTTGGATCAAATAATCTTTTATTCTTCAACGGATACAAATCTGGCCATGATTCATCACACATTTTCATATAACCACACAGCTTTGACTGGCTGGAATTATTATGCTACCCCAACTTTGCTGGATCTCCCTCTCTGCTTTCCTTTTCTTTTTTGTCATGAGGAGACAGCTGAACAAATATTATCCCAGAATTTTACTGTCCTAGCTGGCACCTGACCATTTCCAGGGCTTGTTTATACCTCTCCACTCCACGCTGAGCCTGTAAACCTTCAGTCCTGCATCGCCTCAGTGAAACAAAACCCGAGCACGATGGCTTGCAGGAACAGATGTACCTTCCTTCACTTGCCTGCCCGGCCAACACCTTCACACGCAGCGTATGAAACCAGGCAGCCAACAGAGTCACCTACCAACCTACTGGGAATAGAGAGAGACCATTCCAGGAACTGGTGGGCAGTTGTTCTTATGTAAAGAACAGTCCCTCCAAGGTTTTGAAACCTTCGCAGGTTTTTTTTCCTTACACATTTCACCTCTCTCACTCTTCACCCCTCAACGGACTTATTTTCTTTGAGATAAATGGAACCTAAAAGAATTTATCAAATCTTTCTGCAATTTCACTTCTTTGTCCACTGTGCAACCTACAGCTTTGTAAAAGGACACTGAATCCAAAGGAAGCAATGTGACGGCAGATAGCCCACAAGCACAGAAACGCACAATGCTGCACGGGGGTTGACGCAAGGACAGACTGCAAACAGGAGCTACACACCGCCTGGGAGGAGAGCACTGCACCTATGTTACGTGCAATTACTTCACCTAAACTATTCCCATATTACTTGGCTTTGTGTTCATCCTCTTTCAGAGTTTCAGGAAACACAGCAAGCTGGGAGATGAGCTCGATGACCTAAAAAGTCTTTTTGATTTTTTGTCTATGAACTTAGACCTTAATAACTCACAGTCCTGGGTTTGAGGCAGCTTAGCACTAACCTTTCCCTCTCCGTTTGCCAATCCCCTCAAGACAATTCTGATTCGTACTGAGGGCAAGAAGTTAGGAAAATTGAAGTGCATGGAACTGATTCAACTAATAAAAAGAACATTGTGAAACATTACCTAATTGTTTAGTAATGTTTTTATGCATTGTCTAAATTTGGGCTTGGAAAGGCCTTCAGCTTAATAGAGATACGAACAGATCCTAAATATTGGATGTACAGGCTTTTTAATGACATGGGGGTGTTTAGTTCCTTCCCACACCCCCCTCAAAATAAAGGAGAACAAACACACATTCAGCAAATGAAGCATCTATATAAATGAAGCAGTATAGCAAACAGTTACTCACAAATCCTAACATAAATATACAAAGTCTTTTAGATACTGACATTTCCATATATAGTATTACTTTCTCTTTTTGTTAATCTAAGTAAAATGTTACCTTCTGCCACTCGTTATGGAAAAAAAATTTCACTTATACTTTTTACTTATACTTTCAATAATTAATAAAGAAGAACTTTAAAAAGAATAGCAGCCTTGCTTTTCTATACTCAAGTGCAGCACTTTAGACATTTTAAAATCCTCTAGAATTCCTCTCCCTGAAAATTCACCTTCCATAAAGAGGTAGCTTCATGGATATGAAATATGGTACTTTGGCGCTCTCCAAGCATGAAGTGAACTCATGCACAATTCTCTATCCTGTGAAAGTAGACCCATATAGGCCTAAATATACAGTGGTAAATTTTATGTAATAACCCAGAATGAAACCTTCAAGTCAGGCATTGTTTTTTGCCCTTCTGCTTACAGGTGTGGTAATCCTGGGCAACTAACCTTGACCCTTCTCTGTAAGGGCTGATTATTTAGGACCTCCCGAATGACCAGAACATCCTTTCCTGTCCGTAAGATAAAGACGTGTCAGGGATCAAAAGGGAATTTCATCATCCACCCTAGACAAATTTTCTATTCAATTTTCTGAGCGACACCATAATTTATTTCCTTTTAAATCCCTCACTCTCGAAATCTAGCGTGAAATCCTGCCTACCAATCTGTAGAAGACTTAGATCAAGCAGCCTTTGGAGCCTGTCAGAATTGTCCATGCACACATTAAAAGGCAAAAGCTACTAAGCAAAGTGACATTCTTATAAATACAGACAGCTGGAGTTTGAAAACGTATCTGAGTTACTGCAAAACTGTTAATCAGGAGGCCACTGGGTGGTCCTGAGCAAACATTCAGCTCAACTGTACAACGTACTCCTAACCGATCGCTTAAGACAGACATAGGCCACACATTATAGGCTGCAAGATCAGTCCAGTTTTATTTATTTATTTCAGAGCAAGAGAAAACACATTTTCTTAGTAGAAATGGTGTTGAGCCACAAAGCCTGTACCAAAAATCATTCTGAATCGGAACCTCCAATTATGCGTAAGTATAGTTTCGGAAGTTTAGCTTTAGAGATCCTGGGTTTAATTTTTTAAAAACTTACTATTTGCGGTCTGAGGAGAGGTGTGGTCAATTTGACCAAACCCTTGCTGGGGATAGAAGTACTGGCAGGGAAGAGGGCTAAAGACTACTACAACCACAAGTGGAAGGAGTAAAAAACTTTCCACTTCTAAAGGGACGTGGGTGTGTGCCACGCATCTAGGATTATCCATTCTGCACTCACAGGCATCTTTCCAACTTCTGAGATGAACCTGTAGATCCTGCTCACCAAAGTAACAGCAAAAAGGGAGATGAACATCCAACTCGGTGTTTAGGGTACTTCAACAGAAGTTGAAAAGACACAGACCCTAAATCCTTGCACTAACCACCTGGCTTCTGTGTTGTGTTGGTCAGTTTAATAGCCTGCATATTAAGAGTAAAGGAGAAACAAAAATGATATATTTTTTTGTATTTACTCCTTGAAATGCAGTAACAATTTAAAAAAAAAAGGAGCAGCTAAGAGAGAAAACATTCAGGAATCAATACGGTGTAGATACAGTACAATAGCACTGTATCACATTTAAATGGATTGTATAACACAGAATGGATTAAATGGATTCTAAACCGATTCTATACCGCAGTATGATATCTCTCAAAAAATAAAGGTGCTTTAACTTACAATCACTTCCAGCTTTCCCTGGACATCATGTGACTTGATAACCCAATTGACAGACTTTTTACACTTGAGGATAAGTACGACGTCTCTGACAAGCTTGGCGCCTGGTTGAGATGGTTTAATGTCAACGATTATATCCACCTGGAAAGCACTGTATGTGGAAAATAGAGAGAAAGTTAGACCAGAATGCCAGAAATTTTCAGCTATCAACCTTCTTCCAATCCATCATGTTTCCACTGTCTGGCCAGCTGATTAAAATGCTGGAGATTATCCCAGGCAACACAACATGTGCAAAACAGATTGTTATTCCACATACGCTGAAATGATTTTGCATAACAATAGAAACAAATACTTTTTAGACAAATAAGATTTTTGTCTCTTGTTTACAAGAAGCGTGCTGCTCAATTCAGCTGTTATTTAGAGCAGGTTAGTTATATGACTAGCAGTTTGCTTTATAAAGTAAATAGTGTTTTCTTATTTCACTGCGACAGTGCCTAAATATAGCTGTTTCAGTTTCCTCTGGCTATAACCATATTAAAGCTCAAAATAATACCTTAAAAAAAGCCAAAAGACAAATTAAGCAGGTTAATACCAAAAAAATGCACAAATACTATATTGAGGAGTGTCTCTGCCTAGGCAGTTAAATTGTGGAAATTACTTTGCTTAGGATCTTGCGTGTGTTGAGGAATTAAGCCGTTGTATTCAGTTTCCAATACTTCTGGATATATACTTACTTTAAAAAGAAAAGAAAAGAAAACAGATGTCCAGCCTACTGCTTGCTGGAAAATAGATGAACACTATCCAGATTTTCAAGATCTCAGTAAAATAAGTAGAGCAAATGGGTTTGTACCCATCAATAACATCTCATCGTGCAAAATATTAACTCAACAGAAAAACCTTGACTTCCAGATCATCTTATGGGGCCATGTGTCATAAGAATGTGCTCATCCCCAAGTAACAGGTTTCTACTAATATTCTGCACTGGGACTTAGTGTGTCTTGGGACCTTCGTTTCACCTCCCGCAGTTTTACACATGCCCAGCTCAGCTTCTTTATGTTTCTTTGTGGATATAAACTTTGTGAAGATAGCTGTGGGTAATACATAAAACTATGAGTGATGCAAGAGGAATTTAACTTATTACTTTTTTTACTTTTAATAACAAAACAGTTAAAACATTTTGCAGTGTTTTCATCAAATTCCTACTGTACTATCGGCCAAACCCAAAAGCCCAGAGGACTTGGAGACAGGGCTGTCATTGCATTAACACTGCAAAGGACTTACAATGATGGTGACGCTAAAGAACAACCCTGTTCAGGATGGGGCTGCAACTCACGCCACACAGAGGCAGATCATTTGGGCTTACCTACTCCACTTCCACTACATCTCAGCACCTTCTTACTCTCCCAAGGTTGCTAAGCAAGAATATTCTCGGGCTCTGGGTTCACCATCTTGCAATGAGATAATTACCCTTCTTGCAAAGACCCCTCCGCCCACCTCGATCTCCCTGGGCAATTTCCTCATTAGGGATAGGATGTGCTGAAATGTACCTGCATGAGGAGCACAACTGGACAATGCTGGATACCCAGTGTCTGCAGTATGCAGACAGGATTTCAATTCTACTTCATCTCTTATGAAACTGTACTTTTCCTCTTGCAAAAGAGAAAACCACCTGAGTTTCATAGCAAATTTCTGTTCTAGCAACTATACCGAGCACTTATGAAGAGCTTTTCCACGTATGACCATCTGAAGCAAACCCCATTCACATGCTCCCACTAAGACCTAGGAGAGACCAGCAAATGATGAATGTTTTAAATGTCTTACCTCCAAAGTTTACAGTACCTTTGACAATTTAGATAACCCTCATAGCGCATACAGAGTTAAGTAATTTTCCCTAACCACTAGTTATAAACATTTTTGGTCAGGGGACCACTGTCAACCCTTAACATTTCATGCAATTATCAAACTATCCCTTAAACGCAACTGGAAACTTGACAGAAAATACTGTTACGATTCTGCAGACCAACTGTGGAATAGTTATCATGGACCGCAGATCACTTGCGACCTCTGGACCATTGTTTGGGAGCCACTGCCCTAGGCCTTGCTGCCAGTCATCCCTACCTGTGACAGGTCAAGATTACTTTTAAAGTCTCTCTCACCACCTCATCAGTAGTCCTGTCTTAAACCCCGTCTGTCAGATGCTGTCCTTATTCATATTCCCTTATTCACCTTATTCTTGGAAAAATTTGACCGAGCAAGAAGCGGGGCAGGACACAGTCCGCAGAAACTGTGCTTTGCTGCCTTGTCCAGAAAAATCCTGGGATTGTGAAGCAGAATCCAACACCTTTACATACCGAAGAACTAATTTCTATTTAAGGCAAAGTACTAAGATGCAGGCTCTTCTTGTAAGGATGAAATGGCTACTTTCATTGGATTTTCAACAGACAGGTGAAATCTTTAGCTGTGATTTCAAACAGATTTAGTCTATTTAGACAATACTTTACCTGTACGGATTGGAATTTGGAGTGATTAGTTCAATGATATGAACTTCTCTTTCTTGGACTAAGTTAGACATAAGGCACCCCTCTGCTGTTTTTGGTTGCAGGTATCCCGCAAGGTAATTTAAAGAAAGAAAATTCTTTTCTATGTTGCACGAGGGAGGAAAAACTTGATCTGGAGGAGGGAAAAAAAAGAAAGCATATGCACCTTTACACATAAATATCATCTTACATGCACGTATATACCGCATCTACTTTAGTGTGGCACTGTATTTTACAACATAGGTCTTTAGGCTAAAAGGTATATCTACTATCTATCATAAGCACTTATGACAAATCAACATAATGTTGAAAGGGAGATCACTGTCGCAATAACACAGCACATCTCTGACGTAAAATACACACTTCTAAACTGAACAATTTCTATTTACAGGTTTAAATATTTAATGAAAGAAAATCCCTACAAAGAGAAATTGGAAAACAATACTGAAGCACAATGTGAGCATTTTTCAAAATGAATAAAATACATTTCATTTGTTCCTTGCACCTTTACAAAAGATTTCTGTCTTTTGAAATTAACTCATAGAAAACTTACACGATCAATTCCTTCTCCCTTTAGAAAACATTTTATTCTTGTTATTATAAATGTAACACATTTAAAAGATCACAGAAAGTATTTTCCATTTCCTTACTCAATATATTTTCCTATATATTGTGCAGTCAGTCAGTGTTGTCTAGGAATACAGCAGTTCTCTTGTGCATGGAAAATTGAATATAGCAAGAAAAGGATGAAATCAGGTGTTGATATTAAGGAAGTCTGTCCATAATATCCGTAACAAACTGAAGAAATTCTAGACTAGATATTCAATCTCTCTTTTGGTTTTAACTGCCTAGCTGATCACGAGCGTTAAATAGTGTACAATGCAAAACATAAAAAATAGTGACTTGGTATGACGTTCTCGTGCACAGCCTACAGTGCTGTATCCCAAGAAGCCGTACTGCCATTGAAAAATAGGAATACTTTGTATTTCTGAGATAGCTTTACATATGAATTGTCATAATACACAGCAGGACTAAGCGTCATGTTCACAGACACAAAGTCCTGTAAGAATGTAATTCCAAATGGCTGGCTCTTTGACCTTTGCTTTACAAAGAAGGCTTTCCTATTAAGATCAGTAGCAAGATAGAAAAAAGAAAAAAAAAAATCAAATATAATGCATTATGCATGCAAAACTGTGGACGAACTTTTGAGCTGAGACCACTGTTAGCATTTGCTCCCTGCATAAGAGCTGAAATGTCACCCTTGAAGCACATTTGTGTGTGGTACACAACTTTGCTGGGAGACCAGAGACTCCTGTGACCCTGGCCGCTGCGGAAACAATTAGGGGAGTTTCTTCTCCTGATCTTAAACAAAGTAGTCTTTGAATATTAACCTTGCTGTCTTCCCTACAGAATCTATGAAAGCTGTATGAGGCTGTAACTATTCATACTGCCCAAGCAAAGCACTCCTCTAACATCTGGTATGTGCCCTGCCAGATTAGCCTTGAATGCAGCTGCAGTTCTGCCAGCTCCTCCCACAACAGCAGAGAATGGAAAATGATCCCAAATGGTCTACACTGAGCTTGAATTTTTTTTATATATATACACACACACAGATGGAGTTACTAGGTATTTGCTTCTCAGCTGCCGTATAACACAAGTCAAGCCATAAAATAACAGCCTCTGAGTAGTTTGTGGATAATTACCGCACATGCTATCGTTTGCCATTGCAAAGAACTCGGTTCCTGCTCCTGGCACTTCCATTAAATGTCTCTGGAGCTCTCAAGAACCTCTCGCCGCCACCAGCACGAAGGCTCCCCAGCCTGGGCCTCCGCTCGATAGCACGCTTTTCCTCTCCAGCAAATTTTAACTCTGTCACTGGCTACGTGACATACACATTTACTTCCCCACTACACCAAAATGTGTTTACTCTCGTCAGTGCCAGTTACCAAGATCTGGGCTGGAAGAGAAAAGGGGATCCATTTAATCTTTCTTTGCTCACTATGCTTCTTTTCTTTTTTAGTTTCAGGGCTGTCTACTTACTTTGGAAAGGGACTGCAGGTGCCTGCAATCAATTAAAAACCTTACTAAACCAGCCAGCAAACAGTCCATTTATGGACCCTGTGCCTCTCTAATCTCCACAGACATGGAATATGGAATCAGACATGAGGTTTGCTTGTAATACCCTCAGGGGAGGGTCTCCGGCCAGCGCGGCCGGGCGTCGCGGGTGTGCCTCTCTAATCTCCACAGACATGGAATATGGAATCAGACATGAGGTTTGCTTGTAATACCCTCAGGGGAGGGTCTCCGGCCAGCGCGGCCGGGCGTCGCGGG